ATAGGGCTGTACAACACACACCATGGACAAGTTGTGCACCAGAGATGGGTTCCATGGCCATTTCCAGATATGGGAAACAGGCATGTGTCAGTTCTGACAAGCCAGGACATGGATCCAAGCCCTACTAATCCCTGCCTGAATAGGGTTTTACACTGCTCCTTGAGCACGCTGCAGGCACAGGGAGCTTGCAGGTACCGCCCAGGCTGATTTGGGACAGTTCCAGGCCCCAGGGCTGACGAAGCAGCTCTGTGCATGCAGAAGTAGCTCTTTTTCTAAGTGCTCCTGGGGTTCTTCACCTTTCATGGCACTACATCCATCACCTACAGCGCTGCCTCCAAACAGCTACAAAGCAAATGCTTCTGTACATGAGAGTTTCCTCTACAATGCAACGGAGGTTTAAAAACTGCTTGGAATTCACCCAGAGAGGCCAAAGTTGGGAGAGAAGCCAAAGAGGACTCGGATTGATATGACAATTCACCTAGATGGGCAGAAGCAGAGGCACAGCCCACTTTTTATATTCAAAAAACGGCCCTTTAAGTGATCATCAAGCTCCTGAGAAGCAGAAGACTCCCATGCCCTGCACTGGGCTGTCCAAGCTGCCCCTCCAGCCGCCTCCTGCCTCTGCTCCAGCTGTGCTCCTGCATGCAACATTCCAGCCCGCATCCGGATCCAGAAGCCAGCTGCAACGTCTCAGCGCACGCCAGGGACGGCCGGAGCGCTTGGAGAGCTCGCGCTCTGTGGCCTGGCATCACTACTGCTCCCGAGGAGCTCGCACACAGCCAGGCTCCAGCCGGAGCTCCACACTACCATCCAGTGACGGGGACAGAAACACTTGATGGGCAGCAGCCACGCTCGTATCCAGCATATCCACAGGCTACTGCGGCTGGAAAACACAGCATGCCAGCACCAGAGAGCTTGATTTTACTGGGGACAGCAATCCAGTGGCACATGGGAACACCTTGCTAATTCTGAGCCCACTACAGGAGCTGTAACCATCAGGGTGGTCACTCAACCCCTAACCCTCAAAAAGTCACAAGTCTCGTGTTCACAAAGTGGCTATTTTTGCAGAATTAAGCCCTGTGCGAGCATGCATGCAACATTTCCACCCCAACAGCATCTAGATCCCAGCTGGGGTTACCCACCCTGCACCTGCCAGGGTGAGCAAAAACATATTACACTTCCCACACCAAAAAAACCACCCCAGTGGTGCAGTAGCAGTGCTGCTCTCAGTAGCCAGGTTGGTAAATTAGGGCAAGCTATGCTTCCCCTCCCTTCCTCTCCCCCATGCAAGCATTTAAGGGTTCCCGCTGCCTGCGTGCAGGGTGCAGATCAGTTACATTTATGAAGAACATTGCAATCTGTCAATATAAACACTATGTGAGCATGAGCCACTTGTAACATTACTACTGGGGCTTGACAAGTGTTTGTGCAGAGGGAGCAGATCGGCTCGAGCTCCTTCTGCAGTGGGAGGAAAGGAAAGTGAGCTCCATGCTGTAAGGGAGCTCAGCCTTCTTGTGGGTTCCTATTTTTTGGTTGCATCTAAATAAAAATCAGTCTGTAATCAGAGCATACAGAGGCAAGGGACCGCAAAACCAAAGCCGATAAGCCACCAAAGCAGCAGAACAGAGTGAAATGCAATGCTTGCCCCAGGATCCCAGCAATCTGGGGCTGCTCCAAGCTATCCCCCACCACCAATCACAATATGGTGCAAGTTAATGTTAAGGCAGCCGAGACTCAGAGGAGACATCCGAGCAGAAGAGCTCTTGGAGCGGCAAGTGCATCTCGGGCAGCCAGGCTTGGCCAGCGCTGATCTCAAGGCAATGCTTCCCCCTCTGGTATGACTCAACCAGCGCTAGTGTCAGAAATACTCCTGTCCTAAAACATGCCCTTATCCCTCAGGCATCCCCAGGGAAGCTGCCGAGTGACCCGGAGTCAGCAGCAGCCCATTAAATCCTGCTCCACTTTGCCAACCCTCTGCCTCCCCTAGAAGCTGAACAGCCTTGTATTAGGCAAGAGTGCAACATCACAGCATCCCCCCCCCATCCAGCCTCTTCCAGCTGCTTTCCATTAACCAGAGCTAACGAGCCCCTCGGGAGCAGCTGCCTGGGGACTCCACTCACCACTTGGTTGCATGAGCATCACTCCAGGTGCCACACAACAGCTGCAAGAACCTGCTTCTCTATAGGATTAGGAGCAGCACCAAACCCCAAGGAGGATGCTAGCCACCTCCAGGCAGGAGAACCAACCTGGACTTTGCCCCACAGCAGCAGAGCATCACCTTCAGCACATGCCCTTTTGCTTGCCTGGTTTAGAGCATTTATTGGCAATGTTTTGGCTGTTTGCAAGCCTCTATGAGCCACCAGTAGAGGGTAACACCCCCACTCCAGGGCCTTCCCACCCCAGCATTGCCCAGACCCTGCTCCAGCCCCCCTTCCCACTTGCCCGCTGCCCCAGGGGGGCAGCCCCAGACATAACTACATGCTGACACAATCTCGTTATCATGTAACCATGCCCTGCTCCTGTCCCCACGCACTAATTCCCAGGCAGGCCACACATTTGGAAACACCAAATTCTTTCCCCAAAATAAGACATGGGGGAGTGGAGGAGGGGGCAGGGAATCGCCCACAGCTGTCCCTATCCCCCCACAGCCAGCAGGGCAGCTAAGCAGGAGCTGCAGCATGACATCTGCTTAACACGGCCACCCATTGATGTCTGCTGCCCACCATGGGGACAAGAGCCCACAGAGCAGAGGGTTTCACAGGCCACCAAAGGGTGCCACAACACCAGCTCCTTGGACCATGAAGGAGCATCCTTTCTCCTTGCCTGGGACACCTTATCAACCAAGTCATCTTTATCACAGCCCCCAAGGCAAGGGGGATGCATCCAGGTTATCCTCCCAGTCCCTGCTATGGTTGCAGCAGAGCCTCCAATTGTTCAAGATTAGGGGCGACGGATAGAGAGGCTACTCCTCACCTGGAAGCCCACCCATCTCTGCAGCTACAAACATATGGAAAGTGATATAATGAGAGGTGATGACACCAGCTACCACAAGGCATCTGCAAAGGCACTGGGAACCCCTCGGGAGCAGATTTGGGGAGTGAACCTGCAACTTCCCTTATGAGCAATGCCTGCTGCAAGGAGCAGCTCCTCTTCCACACGCTTGTTGGATCACATCTCACCAGGCATTAACGAGGACCCTGGACCTCAGCCCTGAATATTCTCCAGCATCCCCAGCAGCTCAGCAAGTGTGATCGCTGCTTCAGGCTTATTAGCAAAATGAGATTAGCAGATGCTGAGCCTTTGCTGGGGCTCGACCCAGAGACACCTCACATAAGCAAACTTCCCCATGCTCCACAGGGCTGGGACACACATCTGGCACAGCCTCCTGCCCTCCTTAGAGAGGGAGCCTCAGATCAGGATGAGAAGAGCAGCAGCTGTCCCAGAGGTGTTTTGGGACAGGGAATAGCCTGAAGCAGGCAGGACAGCAGACCTGAAAACCCCCTCACTGTGAAGCTGCTAAAATCCACGTCAGCCAGAAGAGAAATCCCCAAAGCAGGAAACTGGAATGGAATTGCCTGCCACATTACAGCTGCTACGGGCACCAGACAGTTAAAGTCAACATTTCAAGTCCTAAAAACAGGGTATAAGCACCCAGTGTTGATGATCCTCAGCAGATAAGCAGTTCAGCATCATGCTCTGTGCACTACAGTGGGGGGACCCAGGGGTTTTCTAAAGTCCTCATGCACTGAGCTGATGCTGTTCCCTCGCACAGCAGCCTCGGAAATGAGGAAATGAGCCTTTCTTGAGCTGGGAATGGCAGATACAAGCAGCACTCTTTGGAAAGCTTTGCCAGACCACAGGCAAACAGACAAGCCTCAACACCAGGATTTGTTTTACTGGAAAGGAGGGAGCGTATGGGGGGGGAAAGAGATCTCAAGTCTAGTAAAACTTTCCCCGAGGCTGGTCCAGTGGCTCCTACCAGCGGTCACAACACAACATCCTGAACCAGACCAAGAGTTATCCTTAAGTACAAACAACTTGGTGAGCACCAAATCTTTTTTTTTGTATCCTCCCCGCCTCACCCCCGTGAGCTGATCCCCCTCCAGACAGGTCTTTTAAAGCAGACAAAGGACTAAAGCACCATTTATAGGGACCCCAAAGCGACCAAACCATAGCAGCATGAAGAGCGTGATCCCCCAACCCAGCACTGTGAGCAGAGCAACCCCCTCGGGACGGAAAAGCAGAGCAGTTTGGGAAAAAAAAATGCGCAAAAACATACGGGCTGAAAGAGGACCCATGCGGGCGGAAAGACTCAGGACGGGAGAGCGATTTGGGGTAAATAAAGAGGGAATCGGGGGCGCCGCGTCCACCTGCGCGCCGCGGCCCGGGCTGGCGGCGCCCCCTGGCGGCCGCGCAGCGCGCAGGTGAGCGGCGGCGGGACGGGGCGCGCGGGGATGCGGCGCAAAGTCACCCCCATCCTCCGCGTTAAAAACGGCTCGTTTTGGAGACCGCTGCAAGCGCCGGCGTTAGGAAACGGCGGGGAAAATAGCATTTAGCCACGCGCCAAGCTTATCAGGGAGTAAAGGAGACAGGTTGACAGTGCCCCGTGTCTAGGCGGGATAGAAGGTTCCCAGCACAAGCGCACCTGCAGCCGGGTGCTCTCCGCGCCCGCGCTGCTACCGAGGCTTGCAGGGAGCAGAGCTGTCCCCGACACTCGCGCAGGGGACCGGGGAGCGGTGACAGCGCCGGGCAGGGACAAGCAGCGCTCGCCGGGAGCGCACGGTGAGTTGCGCGCCCGCGGGAGCGACACCGCGGAGCTGACCCTGCACCCAGCCCTGCTGCGGCAAAGCGGCACCTGCACCCGGGGCACGACGAAAAAAAACAAAATAATAATAATAATAAAAACAGAAAAGAAGCCTTGCGCGCGCTGCGGGCGCAGAAGAGAGCAAAACGAGCCCCAAAAGTGCCTCAAGCAGCGGTGCGGCGGGGAGGGCACGTACCCGAAGTACGCGGCGGCGGGCCGCGGGGCGCAGGCGAGCAGCCCTAGGAGCGCGCAGGAGCAGAGCCATCCGAGCAGGACGTGTCCATCCAGCATCTTGCAGCGGCGCCGGCGCTGCTCATCTCGCTCCCGCGCCGCGCCCGCTGCGGCCCCGCCGCCCGCGCCGCCTCTTATAGCGCGCGGCGCCCGCGGGCGCCCG